TAGTTACTAGCCAGCTCCAATTAACTTTAGGAGTACTAACCGCAAATAACTTTTGGAGTCCTTTCAAAATTCTAAATCAGCTCCGGTTAAGTTCAGCAAGAACCACAAACAACTTGGAGTTCTTTTCCTAGAAATTAGCATAACTGACAGAATCCATTCTTTCAAATATTTTTCAGATTTTCAACCAGAAAATCATCCACAACAAAGTTTGAGCGTGCAAAGAAGAAGAGAAGTGCAGCTCTGAGGTAAATTTCTACTTGCACGTACTTTAATCGCATTGCATGTCTAAAACCCTTCTTTTTTTTTTTTTGAACTTCTTCCCTTGCTCGATTTCATCACAAATAATTTTAACAATATAATTCTAGATTAAGTTGGACTAAGTTAAATTAAAGCCAAATTTACCTTACCATAACCAAGTTGAACAACAGCTCTCCCTTAAACCTTTCTCAACTTTGCTGTAGAAACTCCCTTTCCTTTTCTTTTTTTTCCGTCTGGCACCAAAAAATAAGAAGAGAAGTAAAAATGCGTTCAACTAGTGATTTGAACTATTTATACATCTAGACAAAGTTAGTGGCATTTTAATAATTTCCAAAAACCATATTCTTCTCTTTCTAATAATCTGGTAGGAGCTAATTCAATAAGGATTACGCCAAACAATTATAAGGGTTGCAATAGAAACCCAAAATGTTGGATTGGTCCTAACCTCAAAAAATTCAAGTTTATTCAACATAAATCATGCAGAAAATCCTCCAACAGCAAATTCCCAAACAACAAATCAATCACCCAAGAAAAGAAAAGAAAAGAAAAGAAAAGAAAAGAAAAAAATCAACAGCAACCAGATTTCGGAATCAATTAAATTAAAATTAAACGCACATAACGATCAGAGTAAATGTAAATCATGCTTTGGTGATTTTTCATTGATCCTCTCATCAAAATAGAAATACAATGATTAGAAATCCATACTCAGGCCTTTCTCCCTTAGTTTATCATCACCGTTCCTTTTCTTTCCCTTCATTCCTGGCCATTAGATGGTAAAACATAAAGAAACGGACGGACGGACCTGAGGGTTGTCGACAAAAACATGCCTTGCCCTTGATTTGCACGGATCCGCAAGAGGAGACCAATTCCATGGTTTGCAGAGGCGTCTCCACGTCGCTTGTGCCTGTTGTTTTTTGTCCGATTAGAGGTATCTGGGGCCGTGGATATGAGAGGGGCTGGGTTTTGAGGAACGGACGGGGGCTAGAGGCAGAACGGGGGAAGAAGAAGTGCAGAATATCCGGTTTTGAAGTGAAAAGGGGGGAGGGTTTTCAAAATATAAAAGGGGCTTGAGTCAGTTTTAGTGAATGGGCCGAAAATGGGCTAATTATGGACTTAGCTGAAATGGGTATGTATTTGGATTTAATTTTGGGGTCTAAATCACCAACTCCTTACAATTTTGACATTTGATCCTTCATCTTGATTACTCCTGCATTTAAGTCCAATTTCAGTATTTTCTTCTT